GCTCCAAACAAATGGTTATGATGATATAATAGATGGTGATGAATTGAAGGAGTGAGTTAGGGATTGGGCAATGAAGAAGATGGCCACCCAGTTTCAGACTTAGAAGAAACACCTATACACGACGTATGTCAAGAAGAACATAGCACCAGATTTTACTGTCCCAGGCCCGATATCAAAACAGAGGCCCTATTGGGATGAGTTTGTACAGTACAAGACGTCGGAAGAGGGTATGAGTCGGGTGATAAAGAACCAACGTAATGCCCAATAGAAGACATACCACCATAACTTGGGATCAGGTGGCTACCCAACTGCCCTACCCGACTGCCATTAAGAAGTGGAACAAAATAGAAGCAGACCTTCTTGCCAAGGGTATCACACCCGAATCACTCGAGTGGGGAGAGCGTGCAAAGAATTGGTTTTTCGCTCATGGGGGAACACTGGACCAGGAGATAGGGAAGTGTGTTCATGATGCAAGACTGCAAGAAGCAGTGGAAAGATTGTTTTATGCTCAGAGAGCTACTGCTAGTGGTGCGTTCAGGCCCAACAGAGAGAAGGATGAGCTGACATACGCCATCGGGACTATTGAACATGTGGCCGAACTAGAGGCAAAGGAAGTGTCTCATGGGAGCATGGATTTCCTCAGGACAGACCTTCCTACAGAAGCCGCCAGAGAAAGAAGGAAGAAGAGGCACAACGGCTCTAGAGGTTGGAGGAAGCGGTGCGTGAAGCATAGGAGCGAGAAAAAAACCTTGAAACGAGAATGCAGGAGGAAATCAGAAGGCAAGTGCAAATAGCAGTGAGTGCAAGCAAGCAGGCATCAGAGCCAGGAATCAACATTAGCCAATCTGTTCAGTTGAAAAGCAGCTGCGCTTCCACGGAGATACCAAATCAAGGGGACACAGGACTGCGCTTCCCTGTGGATGACGTCACTGAACCTTGTACATCGTGTGAGCTACACATTCTGAAGGGGAATTCCACAATCAAGGTGGCTATCGGTCTTGTTAATCCTATCGACCGAACCAAGACACCAAGGATTCATGGGAATATAATTCAAGAAGGATATGCTACCACCTCGGTAGATAAAGCTGAAAAAGATTTTAGTGATTTGCCTCTTGACATTTCTGGAGATGATGGCGAGAAGACTCTAGGAGAAGCATAGAAGACATTCATTCAATGACGCAAGCGCTACATCATCATTCCCGGGATGTCGGCTCCACCTCCTCCTGAACTACCTCACCATAGGTGCAGACGAAAACACTACATCATTAATTTATATTGGCTTAAATAATTAACAATCTGCTCATAATAATATGTCATTTCTTTTTTTGTAGCAGATCCTCCCCCAACCTAAATCCAATTGTTCAATTGCCAGATCATCATAGTGCTCTGTACGATGACATTGTGTTGGAAGGCGAGGTTGCATCCACACCATCTCCAAGGAGGTCTCCAATGCCGCAGCCGCCACCTCCAAGGAGGTCTCCAACGCCGCTGCCACCACCTCCAAAGAGGTCTCCAACGCCTCCCCCGCCCCCGCCTACCAAGAAGCCAAGTGCTAGCAAGAGGCCAGCCCCGCAAACGCAAACGAAGAACCAGTCCTCGTAAAGTGGTGTCTGAGGCAGGAACAGGAGAACAACTACTATGGTTACTATGTTTGCAAGTTTATCAAGGTGGTCTCCCAAAGAACTCCTACAGAGAGACTCAAAGTACGTTAAAAATACACTATATATTCATTTAATTATTATTATTGATTGTGTTACTATGTCTTTTTATATATATATTTACATATATTAATTTATTTTCCTTTAATTCAAACCTGTAGGCTCGATGGTTGGAGAAAAAGGTCATACGGCAAGACCAAATCAAAGCAATTCAAGAGTCTATAGCCGGATTTTTTAATGAGCAGGTCATCGATTCCAAGGGCGAGTTCTACTTCGACCCAACACTGCCATGGAAGCCAAGCTAGAGAATGAGAGGAAACTTGTTATATCACAACAACTGTAATGCAATATTTTGTAATATATGCACATGAAATAATATAATGTAAAATACACATATGCATGCATGCATGTAAATATATATATGATGCATGCATGCATATATATATATATTTTCTATGCTTGAATTGTGTGATTTAATACGTTCATTGTGCTTGAACCGAAACATACTATACACGCGTATAAATGTATAATTAGCAGCGTACAATACGACTTCGAAAACCTATTTTGAAAAGAAAACAAAAAAATGAAAAGAAAAGAAAAAAGAAAAAAAACATTTAGTCCCGGTTCGTATTACCAACCGGGACTAAAGGTGCCGGCCATCGTGGCATGTCAGGAGGCACCTTTAATCCCGATTGGTGTTACCCACCGGGTCTAAAGGTCCTCCTTTAGTCTCGGTTCCTGACCCGGGACTAAAGGACCCCCTTTAGTCTCGGATGCTTGCTCCCGGGTGGGGAACCGGGATTAGAGGAGGTTCCCCACCGGGAGTAAAGCTCTGTTCTCTACCAGTATACTTGAATAAGACTACCCTCTATTTATACGAGAGAATCATGACCGATTGAGAGACCCTATCTAATCGCAAAAAATATATATCTTTACTTTTTTACCTTCTACCTCAAGCTTTTTGAACCCTTTATTGTCCAACACATCTCTCGGTGAGTTTTTTTGTTTTTGTTTTTGTGAACCGTTAGCAGGGGAGGTCCCTACCTATATTTTTTAAGTTCATATGAGGAAAAGTATTTACAAGTTACAAAGCTTTCAAAGCTCAAAAGGGAAAAAGAAAAGGCTCTAAGAGAAATTCTCTCGCCACAAATCTAGGGTCACTTTTAGATTCTGCTTGGCCTTGATACAAACGAATCCAAGCTCCTCTTTGAATCTGCTCTTCCAATTTTTGAGGTTACAGACTTTATTACCAAAGATAACTCCATTTCTTGTTTTCCATACGATCCAACAAGCTATAATTACTAGTTCTCTTAAAATGGGGCTGCCAAAAGTTGTTCTGGCTTCTTGTTTTCCATACGATCCAACAAGCTATAATTACTAGTTCTCTTAAAATGGGGCTGCCAAAAGTTGTTCTGGCTTCTATCACCATGTCCAAGGGGTGCAGGTTCAGGTTCTAGTGAATGGATGAAGAGTTCAAACAAGCAATGTTAAAAGGACATTCAAAGAAGAGATGAAAGCTGGTCTCTTCACATTGTCTATTACATATTGTCTATTACATAGCTCATAGTTATAGTCTTCCAAGTATTTGTTCTTCCTCCTCGAGTTCCTTGTGCTTAATCGATCTCTGAGCAACGACCAGAAGAAAAATTTGTGCTTACCAAGATTGCATGAGGACCAGAGCTAGGAGATTAGAGGTGAGACTTCTAATGAGCCTTGCAACTAGGAATAGGCCTTTTTTGTGGAGTAGGAATCTGAATTCCAGATGTAGCTCCATCTGTCTTCTATGCCTGTCTCCTAGTTTCTTTCTTGTATTACAGCCTGGAATTCTGCTAGCTGATTTGAAGCTTGAGAGGATAGGGGAAAGGTGAACAACCTCTCACATGAGTATCCAAGAAGTGCTTTACAAAACATTTTGGCTTGCTTACAAATGAGAAGAGTTGTGGATATGCTTTGAAGAGGGGAGCTTATCCAGCTATCTTGGCAAAACATAGCTAATTTGCCTTTGTTAGAGATGCAATGAGTCAACAGTCTAAACTTCTCATCTAATTTGAGCACATCCTTCCACCAAAAGGATCCCACTGGACATCTTTCATGTGGAGGGATGTGGGTGTTCTTATACAACTCTGACCATGTTAGAGTCACCCAGGGAATGTCTGCATGATTGTAGAATTTGTCTAGAAACATGATGAGGAGGACTGAATTTTGACTTTTCATATTGATAATCCCTAGTCCTCCTCCATATTTTGGTTTGCATGTTGTTTCCCAAGCTGCTAGGCAAGTTCCTTTTCTGTTGATGTCACCACCGCTCCAGAGGCAATGCTTTCTGTACTTATCAATCTGTTTGATAATCTGTGGGGGTAGATGGAAACAAACACATGTAAAAGGTTGGGAGAGTTGAAAAAATAGAATTAACCAAAATTAACCTTCCATGATAGGAGAGAAAGCAGATTGCTGATCCCTCCAAGCATGCTCTCTATTCTGGATAGAAGAGGAGTGAAGTCTTGAATACTAGGTCTGGTGGTGCCAAGGGATAGACCTAAATAGGTGAAAGGCATGGCTCCAATTTTGCATCCAAAAGTATCTGCCAAGGCTTTAGCTTTAATCTCATCTACATTGATCGGCACCAGGAAGGATTTAATAAAATTCACATGGAGACCTATTGAATTCACATGAGACCCATTAATTGGCGCCAAGAGTTCTGCATTGCGGCGGCGCGTGGGGGAGCAAATTAGGGTTTGTGGTGGCCAGGCAGAGAGATATAGTACACGCGTGTGGAATTTTTGGTGGGGGACCCATAGAACAGTAGCGTACGAGGCACCAATTTTTCGGTGTGCCTCCGACCGGCACACGCAGATGAAGCCTAATTTTTTCGGCCGAGGCGAGGGAAGGCCTTCGGAAAGGAACTCCCGTCAGTTACCACCAACCGTCAGGAGTGATTTACGATTCCTATCGGTTTCCATAAGTTCCTGTAGATTTTACATAACCGACAGGAATATTCTGGTCTACTCGTCGGTTCCTAATAAACCGTGAGGACTTCTCTAAGCCGGACAGGAACTTCCCTTTCTCTTGTAGTGTGGGGGGAATAAAGGCAGCACTTACGATCTGAGGCAAGCGCTCGCAATAGATAACACATGCCCCAACCCAATCGTGTGCGCAGAAGCTAGTGCACTCGTGTGTGCATTCTTTTAGAGGCCATTTGCTTTGTATTTAAATAGCGTGGCGCTGTGGCCTAGCGCTCCGTGCTTCTTCGGCGGACGGCTTCTTTCACTAACTAGCTCTCTGGTGGTATGCTGCTAGTACTTTGAGAAGTGGAGATAGACGATGATGTTGCCCCTATGGAGGATGACGGCTGCGGCGGTTCTGATGGTCCTCGTGGCTTTCGTCGTCGTTGCCGGTGGCGCAGAGGCGGAGGCGGGACCGCAGCGGATTCTGCTGGACACGGACATGGACACCGACGACTTGTTCGCGCTGCTCTACATCCTCAAGCAGAACCGGTCCGAGTTCGACCTCAAGGTACGTTCTGGTTCATCATCTCCTTACATGCTGTGTTAGACTGCTAGTGGTTTTGCATCTGCAGGGGCTAGGTCTAGCTGGCTTGGATATATTGCTGTAGTGCAGCTATAGCTAGTTTGCCTTGAGCATGACTCATATCAGACCCTACTTTCTGCTGAAACTTGAAACTAAGATGAATAATTCTAGTGTTAAGTGTAACAGTTCTGTTCGTTTAGTACCCTACGGCTCTGATCGGTAGTCGTCATGGCTGCGGCTGCAGCCGCAGAAGCCTGCTGTGTTGGGTGTTCATTGCTGACTAGCTAGCTTGAGCACTGCAATGTACAGTGTACCCTCGGCTTAACGAGAAGTCAACGTGATTCTGTTAACGCACATCTCGAAGTATACTCACGCATCCCCCGTTTCGTCGTGAGCTGGTGGATTGGGCCTCCGTGCCAGCCAACTTACAAAAATAAAAAGGAGCGCACTTTGTTTACACACATAACCGGGATCCTACTTCATTCTCTCTGGTCAAGCCGGTTGAGATTATTTTCCGTGCCATATTAGAAAGGCACTTCTGCATTCAAAGTATTTTTGTAGATGAATTAATCGTATTTTAGCTCAATAAATAAAATATACATTCGAGAAGCAAATAGCATCCTCCGTGTGTGATGGATCGGTGATGGCAACAAGCAGAATCTGCAAGAAATAAACTAAAGCAGTAGACAGAACTTGTTCTTATAACAACATAAAGTTGATAGAACTTTGTTCTTATTTGATGGCATGCATTGTCATTTGTCAAGCACAGTCAAAGCACACAAAGCCGTGGATAAGACAGTGACTGGGCATCTCCCCTTGGCTTTGAGGTTAGCTCTGAGCCTCTCACCATATATATGTACAGTGTTACATGAAAGATGAAACGTATCTTTTAAAAATGTGCCCTGAAAAAGGAACAAATTAAAGAGCGTTTCCTGTAGCCTGTCCGTTGGAAGTGTGTATATGTACTATCATCCTACTATGCCAATGCCAACTTTTTCTGTAAAAATATCTACCATGCATGTCAACGATTCTTTCGTATATTGATGGATCCACACGCATCTTGGTCACAAACCTGTACTCCTTTTATTTGCAAATATATAATGTTTATGATAAAATGGTTATTTTAGAAGACTAATTAGCTTGTTCTAAACATAATATATTAAACGAAGGTAGTATTATTTCTCTCTCGTTTTCATTCATGTAGAATATTGGTTTCATATGTTCAATCAACGTCACTTTGCTAAATAATGACATATTTCACATGATTTAAAGGGTTGTATGATCCCCTAGCAAAGCTTGACCCATCTTGTTAAGTGAGGATTCGAAGCTAAGAGCATCCCCAACAGATTATATTTATCCCACATCTTCTAAAAGTCTATATAGGTAATCTTCTATTATTAGTAGTGCAGCTTTTCCTTATTCTCTCCCAACAAATTATCAAATATCTTTAAAGTAATAGACAGGAGAGAGGGGGCGGCTTTTCCTTATACTCTACGTCCCGAGCACCAATTCGTTAGTCTTCACTAATATTCTTTGCTCCATACTTGTCCATCAATCAAAATCATCCTTGGTGCCAAGATAACCATGTGTTTAGCAAGTGACTAACCTAATGTGATTATATATGATGTAATAATGCTCAGGTGATAGCCTGCTGAAGGTGAAAAACAAAATAGATTAATTGTCCATAATCAACATTATTGACATGGTAATTAATAATAATAAAAACAAAATAGACTAATTGTTCATTCTACTAATAGAAGGAAATAACTGACTAGTACCATTAATAATAAAGACAAAATAATGCTCATGTGAAAAATCTAATGCCATTATAATTTGATTTTTCCTGCACTGAAAAGTTATATATTTCACTAGTACAGAAATGATTTTCAGAGGCGCCTTCCTTTTTTAACAGAAGCGGTTGTCTTAGCACGCTGCCACTAACCTTCGCGAGAGGCACTATAGCTATATAACCGTTGCTAGAAATCAATTTTTAGAGGCGGTTTTCATTAAGAAATCCGCCTCTAAAAATGTATCTATTTTTCAGGACGGTTTTATTAAGAGAACCGCCTCTAAAAATGCTATTTTTAAGGACGGTTGCTTATGTCAACTGTCTCTGAAAATGAGTGATTTTCAGATATGGCCTTAAAAATAGCTGCAACACAAATAAATTCATATCTTTTTTTTAAATGAAGTTGGATGAAGACAAACCTTATATCAAAATTGTAGAGCTCGACGAGATCTAAAACTTTGCGGTTGATAAAATTTTTGTTTGAGATCATTTAGGGTTCCAAATATATAAATTAAGTCTTAGATTTTGAATTTCAAAATTTTGAATTTTTCAAATGACCTTGAATGGAGAAATATTCTATATCAAAGTTGTAGTGCTTGACAAGATTTAAAACTTTGTAGTTGAAAGTTTTCTCATTTAAGATTGTTTATGAGTTAAAATATTAATTATAAGATTCGTATATATTAATACAAATAGACAACATCGTAGAAGTAGACACAAGTGACTGTGTGGTGTTGTGGTAGGGGAGGGATCGCACGAGGGAAAGGTTGTGTAGGTTTGAATCCCGGGTGCCGGCACTTATTCAAAACAATTGAAAAATAAATCTCGTGAGCTGTGGCCCCTCCTCAGCCTCCTCATCCCTTCAGGCTACGTTAGAGATATTTTTTTTTTATTTTTATTAGACTCTAAATGATTTTTAAAAAATTTAAAAATTATTTTTAGGGGCAGTTGATTTAAGACAACCGCCTCTGGGTGGTTCGCCTCTGAAAATCGATTTTCAGAGGCGATCACTAGTTTTTACAATCGTTAGCATAGTAGCGGTTTTAAAACCGTCTCTAAAAATCACTTTTGACCGTCTCTAAAAATATGTGTTTTTTTTTAGAAAAAAGGGAGTACGATGATGCACACAACCAAACTTTATTAATCATTACGGTTTTAGCCTCCAGCTATAATGAGCATGCTCCCCAAAGCACAACTAACAAACGAGGTGTAGTTCAAACTACAATTCTATTAGGCAATCCAAATTAAAGCCACCGTCTTTAACATGTCATATTTGCTCATCAGATATACTAAACAATTGCAAGGCAATCCAAATTAAAGCCACCGTCTTTAACATATGTCATTTTTCTCATCAGATATACTAAACAGTTGCACTGACATCCTAGTCGATGAATGTAAACCAGGGTATAGAGTGCACAGCGGATTCGGTCCTGCTCGCTATACACACGAGCCGACACCCTCTCAGACCCTCTCAGGTTCAGGTCCCACGGGGCCTACAACATATTAAGGCCTTGGGTCTAACTCAATCCAAAAGGCTAGCTTGCCCCCCACTTATATGTTGCGCTCCCGCACCATCAATTACCGAAGTGTGACTAAAAACCTAACAATCTCCCCTGTTACACATCGGGCCCAACTCTTTATCATATCACACAATCTCGTGCGATCTCCTGAGGATGTTATGAACGTAAACCATGCTAGAGTGCGCAGCGGATCCGACCGAGCTCACTATACACATGAGCCGACACCCTCTCAGGCTTAGGTCCACAGAGCCCACAACTTACTAAGGCCTTGGGTCTAACTCAATGTAAAAGACTAGCCTGCCCCTGCCTTATATGTTCGATTCCCCACCATCAATTACCGATGTGGGACTAAACCTATCAATTTCCCCTGTTACATATCGGGTCCAACTCTTCATATAATACAACCTCGTGCGATCTCCGGAAGACGTTTTCCAGGCCCCGAGTCACCTAAACCTAACAATTTCTCCTGTTACACATTGGGCCCAACTCTTCATATCGCACAACCTCATGCGATCTCCGAAAGACGTTTTCCAGGTCCCGAGTAACCATGTGACTCCTAAGATTTTCCAGGGTTTTCGACCATGGCTCTAGTACCACTTGTCATTGGATCCGAGTTCACAACGTACTAAGGTCTTAGGCCTAACTCAATTCAAAAGACTAATCTGATATGTGAGGGCTGCTCCCGTCTTATATATTGTACCCCCTCATCATCAATTATCGATGTGAGACTAATCCTAACAAAGCAAAAGCTACTTCAACAAGTCTCTAAATAAATCTTGCAACATGACGATCAATAATTAAATGTTGGACTCTACGATGAAAAAATCGTACATATGAGCCGTGTGATTATTTTTATTTTGAAACTAGGAGCTGCAGGATTAGATCTAGCTAGCATTGTAGCTGGATTGTCTTTAGAGGAAAACCATAACATTTTTATTAGATTTTTTTTTTGAGACAAATCATTTTTCCCCATGAGCTCTCAAGACTGGATTACTGGGAACTGAAAAGGCTCTCGCTCGAGAGAGAGCCTTGAGGGTGGGCAGAACCACATGTGCCTGCTCGGCCTCGGCAGCAGGCAAATCCAAGTGGGATCGCTGTCGTGCTCGTGCCCTCTGCATTTTGTCCAGGAAGCCAGTGGCGGCCGCGGATGGAAGTGGACAACCGCCAATGAGCAATTGAGCAGAGTGGGCTGCGTGCCTGCGGCAGATGCGGATCGGTTGAAGTGGCAGAATGGTAAAGTTTCTTCTTTCTTCACCGTCCACCCCCCACCCCCACCGACATCAGTTGAAATCAAAGTTTGGCGATTCGTAGTCATAATGGGATACTCTCATGATAGGATATTGGACTAACTAGCCACTAGGTACCTACTTCCCGATTCCGCACATGTCTGATACATATTGGTAAGGAGCTTCAGCTTCGGATGATAATTCCGAGAGATTGATTCAAGGGCAATGCAAGTGTATTAGTTCTGAATTGCAGTAGTCTTGAGCTTCAATGCTTTTTGTGGTGTTCTGATATCTGCAGGTTGTATGTAATCAGGAGGTTGCTAGGAAGTGGTAACGTGAGCTGAATGTTTTGGCTGCAGCCTGTAGGTGTGCGTTGATATTATCAGACCCTAGACAGGGTTTTGTGTCACCAACTCTGCTTTGTTTTTTTCTTCTTCTTACAAGATAAACTAAAAATCTGTTGCAACTGTTGGTGGCGTAGAAGAGCTCTAAAATCTCATGATACATTGCCATAAAAAATATAAAAAAAAACTATGGTACATACCCGTTACTTTTCTTGCCAACATATTCAGGCAGTTTCCATCAGTGTCAATGCATGGAGTAATGCCGGACATGCTGTGAATCATCTGTATGATATACTCTATATGATGGGCCGTGATGACATTCTGGTTGGTATTGGTGGTGATGGTGGTATCTCAGACTCTGGCACCATTTATCCAAATGTCGGTGGTTATTTACCACTGATTGATCAGGTACAAAATTTTATCTTAGCTTCCACCATAATAGTATTACTCTAGACAAGTCTATCTGACTCTGTTATTATCTAGAAGATCATCTATTGCTCAAGAAAGGGAATATATTTTTTCCCCTTGGTTTATTGTTCAGTAATCAGTATCTAATACTAATGCGTAGGTTAACTAACACTTAGGGCATGACAACAGTAGGAGGCTGCCGGTACAGGCAAGCTATTCCACAAGGAGGCAGTGGGCGGTTAGACAAGGACACAAAACTTTGGATTGAGAAGGGGATTCCTTCCACAGGTAATGCCAGTTGTCATAAAATAGTTCTATTAGTTCATCACTGTATTATCTGGCAGTTTTTTTTTTTTAACGAAGCATGTTAAGTTTAGCAACTTACAAGCTCCTATGACTCGATAAAAGATTCTTATCGATAGAAACATGTCTGATACTTTGGTCCTCTGTTTTTGTTCCTTATTTTCCCTCTTAGATCCTCAGCTCCTGCAGTTGAAAATGCATAAATTTTCAATATAACTACATAAGTTAAAATTGCATAAATTATCAGCATGAATTTTTTAAGATAAAACTTTGAACATGAGTCATTTACCTTGACAGTTTTCCCTGAGTTCTGCTTGTATATTTGCTTGGGTCCTCCATGGGGTTACTTGGTGGACCTCTAATTATCCTTTTAAAGATTTGAAACAGGACATGTTGTAAAGACTAAAATTACAGGAACATGGCCATTAGAACCTTCCAATGTGTACATGTCTCTAGAAACTAGTCATATTTCAGATGGCTTCTGATTGGTATGAACTTCGAAGATAAGAAGATGGCTAGGGGAAATATATTTGCATTTAGGAACAGCTGGACACTTGCATTTTCAGTCTGCATTAACCGGGCCTGAGGTGAAATAAAAACAAAATTTAGGATAGCGCTAGCTATATTCAGTGACCTCTTTAGTGTTTTTGTGGAAGGCATTCATGTTTACTTTGATTAATTTAGTATTTATTACCATATCTGAGTTACCATATTTAAATCTGCAAAACAGGGTCGCAGAAAATATACCCCTCTTCAGCAACCTACAGCACAAGAAGTAATGATAGAAACAATATCTGCTGGTTCTACAACTGTCATTCTCACAGGATCACATACAAACTTTGCCATTTTTCTCATGACATATCCACACCTGAAAAAGAACGTGGAGCACATATACATTATGGGTGGTGGAGTGAGATCAAAGAACCCTACAGGTTGCTGTCCAAAAAATGCTACCAAATCCTGCACACCACAGCAGTGTGGTGACCATGGTAACTTGTTTACTTGTTACGCTACCAACCCGAATGCAGAATTTAACATATTTGGAGATCCTTTCTCTGCATACCAGGTATATAAATCTCAGATTAGCAAGTTATTGTACTCATTTCGTCAAAGAAAAGTTATTGCACCCTTCTCGTTGAATTTTGAAAAAGGACTTTTATTTCATTTGCACTTTCACATCATGTCCTCATCCACTATCTGACCTGTAGCACTTCCCCTAATATCAAGAGAAAAAGGCAAAATCGTGTCCCATGTCTCTTCCTTTTTAGATTGTCTATTCTCCACAGCAAATTTTTTTTTGTAGAATTATAAATTGCGTACTTGTTAATTAAGTGTGTCTCTTAATTCTCACATAGCTGTGTTTAGTTAATTGTTATTTCATTTTAGTTGACATACCAGGTAATCAGATAAAGAGAACTCCTTCTATGCCTCTGGGATAATTCTCTGCCGCCGAATAATTCGCACTCCCTTCTGTCCCACTAATTTGTAAAATCCATCCCCTCATCAATGCCATTGCGTTATGACACCACTGTTAGTTTAGCTGCTGCCCAGACATAAAGGACATTTTTATGCAATCATTTCCCTGAATATGGCCTCGCTATGACATTAGAATGTTGGTTCTCGCTCTGTATGATGAGGGCCAAACAATCTTTTCATGCTTTAGTTGATGGCTAAATCAGTTATGGCACTAAGTTATTTGGTAGCAGATTGTGTACTGAGTTAATCAATGGCACAAAAGTAACTTCTTAAATTAGCTAACATATTAAACACATCAGGTTTTTCATTCTGGAATTTCAATCACACTTGTTCCTCTTGATGCGACCAATACTATTCCAATCAACGAAGAATTCTTCTATGAATTCCAACGCCATCAGAGTACTTATGAGGCCCAATACTTGTTTAAAGCTTTAAAGATGGCTCGAGACACTTGGTTCAATGATCAATTCTATACAGTAAGTTAAAGTCATTTACTCCAGTTCATTTGGCACACAGTCCCCCCCACTGTTCCTTATTATTTTTTCTTTCTTGTCCAGAGCTATTTTATGCGGGACTCCTTTACTGCTGGTGTTGCCATCTCCAGCATGCGCAATGATAAGAATGGCAAATTTGGAAATGATTTTGCTCAGGTTGAATATATGAACGTTACAGTTATAACTTCTAATAAACCATATGGTGTGCATGATGGCTCAAATCCATTATTCAAAGGTCGTGGAACCCCCAATTTGGTCTTAAAAGAAATGGAGTTCATAGCGGTCATGTTCAAACTGGAATTACTGATAGCTTTTGCAGCCTCAAGGGAAGTAATAAAGGAAGATGTGAGGTATAGTACAGTATGAACAAATTTTTTTAGGGACAGTTGCACATCTTTATTTTTATGAAACAAAAGTTGTTGCTAATATGGAGAAATCTAAAGAATTTTCATTGACTTGCCTCTATGCATGCCTTCACTATCATGTTATGATGTCTATGGACGGCCAATGACAACTTGTAATGCACAATATTCGACAAAAACTCAACTTTTGTTTGAATAAACATATAAAACCTAATGAAGAAAACACTATGCATATGTTATTTGGTACTGGCAAGTCCATTATCCACTATGTTGTTATTTTTTCTTAATATAATGCTACACAACTATGCGTGTTCAACAACTCTTCCATTTTTCAAACGAATAAGAAAAATGAACAAAATTTGCTTTTTAGGGAACTCAACCTTTTTACTAATTATTTTTCCTAGGATGGATACACTAAGGAAGTCTCCGGTCCAGAAGCAGTCCACATTCGTGTTGCTACGGGGGCTAAACCAAATGTGGATAAGTATAGCCCTCTTGACAGGGAGTTTTTCAAAAGCTTCCTAGAGGTAAGCCCTTCTGTCTCTTAACTCTTGTCAGAAGACTTTTTTTTTGCGTCTAACTCTTGTCAGAAGGCTCGCAACCCAATTTTGTTTCATTATTCCTATTCTATCTGATCAAACTCAGTCTATGTCAAGTTGTAATGATCTAATAAGCTTGTTTATGTATGCATTAAAACATGCTAGTTAGATGCCTTTGTTGTTTTTACATGTATATCGTCGGTAGGGATGAAAACAGCCATAAAACCCTCAACCTTACGAAAACGAAAGCGAAAGCAGTAAAGCCGATACGAAAACGAACACAAACTTATGAAATATCAAGAATTTCGAAAACGAACTATTTCGAACGGAAATATGCTGAACATGGTCGGTATACGAAAAATCAATACGGAATATTGGCCCATAGAACCAAGTGCATAACAATTAACAAATGCATGACCAAGTGCATAACAATTAACAAGTGCTATAACTTTCATGTAAAAAGTATCTCCATTTGACACTATAAAAGAAAGATATGATTTTTCTAAGCCAACAAACGCTTGTACGCGATTAATATACTACTAAAACTTTGTTAAATTTTTTGAACATCTTAACAACCTCAGATGAAAAAAAACTAAAAATTGCGTCAAGAGCTACAACTTTTATATAAAAATTATCTTAATCCGAGATCGTATAAAAAAGATGCAATTTTTCTAAGGCTAGACTTCTAGTGGGCAAAAAACGGTATAAACCGAATTTTAAAAACAGGATATTCTAAATAAAAAGCAGAAAAATAGAAAATGGTCGAAAAACGTCTAAACCATTTCCGTTCTGTTTTAGAATTTGATATTCTATATTTCGTACTGAATTCGAATTTGTCTGAAAATACGAATTCGAGCGTGTCAAATGTATAGAAAACGATGAGGGACGGTACGGAATATATTCCCACCGTTTTCATCCCTAATCATCAGCTCTAAATCTCTAACAAAGTTCATTTTGGAGTTACTTTTTCCTATGTTACTTTAATTAGCACTTGGCTCTATATCATCTTTTAGGAAAAAGGCTACATAACCCTCCTAACTGTTCAGGGTGGACTACTTCACCCTCCAAATTATAAAACCAGATTTTCTACCCTCTGAACTTTTCAAAACCGGTCAAATAACTCCCCAAGCGATTTTGGACGGTGGTCTTGCTACAGTGACGGTGGTTTTGTCTTTTTCTTTTTTATTTATTTCCGCTAAATCTTTAAAAAATCATAGTAAATCACAGAAAAATCATAAAATAGAAAGTCTAATTTTGTTGGACTCCACATGAGTAGATCTACACAGTGAGCATATATTATGGTATGGTTTAGTACAAAGTTTTTGCTGTAGCTTTAAATCTATACTTTTCTGTAATTAAATAGAATAATTCATAGTTGTAGCTTCTATGGTCCAATTATGGTGAATTTTTTGTGGTGGGCTAATTATTATATGCTTGAACTATAGTAAAAATTTCATAATCATTGGATCATGTATAACTTAATTTTAGATAAAGCATAGATTTAACAAGCATAAACCTAAATAAATCTATGACTAAGTTATACATGATCTAATGAGTATGAAATTTTTACTACAGTTCAAGCATACAATAATTACAATAACAACAACAAAGCATACAATAATTAGTCCACCATAAAAATTTCACCATAATTGGACTATAGAAGCTTATGAATTATTCTAATTAATTACATAAAAGCATAGATTTAAAGTTACAGCAAAAATTTTGTACTAAAGCATACCATATTATATGTTCACTGTATAGATCTACTCATGTGGAGTCCAACAAAATTGGATTTTCTATTTTATGATTTTTCTGTGATTTACTATGATTTTTCAAAGATTTAGCGAAAATAAATAAAAAAGACAAAACCACCGTCATTGTAGCAAAACCACCGTCCAAAACCGTTTGGGGGATTATTTGACTGATTTTGAAAAGTTTAGGGGGTGGAAAATCCGGTTTTATAGTTTTGGGGTGAAGTAGTCCAGTCTGAATAGTGGGAGGGTTATGTAGACTTTTTCCTCATCTTTTACCCTAAGCCTGTATCTTTACAACATAGAGCTGAACTTTCTTTCCATTGGCTAAAAAAACTCGGCCCTAGGGAAAGAATTCCTTCGATATATTAGCACACAAGGGTCATCTGCGCAAGACATGTCTGCAGGTAGGGATGGCAATCCTGTGCGCGGTGTGGGTACTCGCGGGTATTGCACACCCGACAGGTGTGGGTGTTAGGCAATTCATTGCAAAGGGGTGTTTACACTACGGGCCACTTATGTGTTAGACAATTCATTGAGAAGGGGTGTTTACTCTACGGGCAACGTGGGTGTTAGGCAATTCATTGTGAAGGGGTGTTTACTCAATGCACCACTTACTCGGCCCACTGCCAGCTCTACCTGAAAGCCACATATATCTCTGAAGCAGGGTGAAGGACTTTTTCTGGTATAGGAGCAACTGTTTGAATAGATGACCAACAAAACATCACTCCCAATAAACATATTGCCCATAGTTGTGCTAAGTAACTAACTTAAGAACTACAAACCGTTAGCTGTATAAAGAGAGAAATTGTTGGCAAAGTTTATGAGTTTTGTAGTGCAAAGGTTCAACAACAATGAGTTTGGAGATAGAGTAAATAGCTGTGGTGTGCTGTCTATGCCTTCATGAAGTGAAGGACCGAGCAGGTGACCAGAGGGGGGTGAATGGGAGCCATTTAATTCTTTTATGCAAGAACTTGGTCTATGTTCTGAATACAACCCAACACACCTCTCAAAATGCAAAATCAAGTACCCAAAGCCATAGATAGACAAATGGACTAAGAAACAACGATGTTGGAGCCTGATCAAGGGGAAGCAAGAACAAGTCAGGGAAACGCTTAGAAACCTCCCAAGACAAATTCAGCCCAAAAAGTGTGCAACTTTTGTGTTTTGCAAAAGTTCTGCGTTTTTTCTGGAAGTTCCGCGTAGGCAGATTTCAGCAGGCTGAAGCAAGAGAGAAAAGGGTTAAAACTCGATCAAACGAAGTCCACATGACCTAAAATTTTGCAAACACGTTCCTTAGGATTGTTTGAAGGTGTCCACAAAATTTCACCTCCAAAAGATCAAATCGCGGATGGAAAATTGAAAAAAAGCTCTCAAATTGGGTATTTTTCGCGATTTTCTTGAAACGGAGGAGACGGGGGTGCTTGTGGGAAATCTGGTTAAGGCAAAGCTTAGACATGTTTCCAAGACCTCATAGCACCTAGTAATCACAAGAAATCAACCCAAAAACCTCTGCTCAAAGATCCTCATGAATTTCACTCAAAGAGGCATAAAGAGGGATTTTGGGGGCTTGGAACAAGATAGGTAGGTGATGAGCTTCAAGCCATGGTTTAGATATGTTGCAGCTCAAAAAAACATGCCAAACAATCAGCCGAAGTTGCAGCTCAAAAAATTGATGATGAAAATCACCGAAAGAGGAAAAAACGGAGGAGGGAAAGGATGAACTCGAGATTTCAGTCAACACTTCGATTAGCAACTTATGAATTCATTATTACAAATCAGGTAAAGCCTACTCCCTTCATCCTCCCACTGAAGAGGGAAAATTAGAGCAAGAGGATCTCACTCTCTCTACTTCTAATCTCCCTAAACAAGATGCACTTGGCTAGCCTAAGGAAACAAGCATCGGGGTGAAAGAGATGGATGTCTTGGGCAACCACCATCCTTATTTATAGGGCTATTACACAATTCCAAGAGTTCTCCTAGGTTTAGGTTTGAACCACTTAGCAACAGGGGTGAAATGGTCTAAATTGGTTTACATATATCTGATGGCCACAGGCCCTTCATGAAGTCGTTTCGCCTCGACGCAAGCTCTCCAATGATGCCACGTGCCACCTCGAGATCCTCCCTGGGATTTTGAGGCCCAAACCCGGCAAACCTGTCGCACGTGGTTTTGAGGCCCAAACCACCAAACCCACTTGGAGTAGCGTAGAAGCTTAGCCTTCTCCACGATGTCGACCCGTGTCCCACTCGCCCTTGAACGGCGGATCACCAAGTGCTCACATGCCCGCCTTGACTTGGTCCAATCGTCGTCTTGACTTTGGTCAACACTGTCGCCATCACCATCCTCGTGTGTACACTTGGTTGTCGATGTGTCTAAATGGTAGCCATCCACGGTCCATCCTTCAGCCCTCGATCCCTCGGTCCAAGCCTCTGCATCCGCCCTTCACCACTTCCGGTGGTCCATGTAGGGTCGAGATGGCGGACTAGAGGGGGGTGAATAGTCCTTTCTAAAATTAATCGCGTCGCCTAACCGAAGCAAGTGTGGAATTAATACTATCGGTCTAGCCAAGACTACACCCCTCTATCTTTGTTCTCTAACACCTCGCTAAGATCCTAATTAAGCAACAAAAGTGCCGAGCTAGCTAGAGCTCACCTAACCAATTCTAGGAGTAAGGTCACACAAACCTATGCCACTAGTACTTCAAGCAATGAGAGAGCTCCTACACATGCTAGTAAGCAAAAGCACAAAGCCAACTAAGCTCACTAGCAATGCTCAATAATAAGACAACCAATGCTAAATTAGAGAACGCAAATACTTAGCTACACAAACTAAGCAATGTGACTAACAAGGTTACACAAATCAAATTAGCCACGCAAGGGAGCTACTTCTATGCTACACAAGCAAGAAGGTAACTAGTGAGCTACACAAGCTAACTAATTACAAAAGTAACTACACAAGCATAATGTATATAAAAGTAATCACAAGCTTGTGTAAGGGGATTGCAAACCAACGGGAAGAACAAGGTTGACACGGTGATTTTCTCCCGAGGTTCACATGCTTGCCAACACGCTACGTCTCCGTTGTGTCAACTGCTCACTTGGTGGTTCGGCGGTTAATTGGCATCACCCGCCAAGCCCGCACGTCGGGCGCCGCAAGAACCTACCCTGAAAGTGAGGGTAGCTCAATGACACGCTCAACTAGAGTTGCTCTTCACGGCTCGCGCGGGGCGAGCACAA